ATTACAAGTCAAAGTCGGGCAGAAACACACAACATCCTATGAAGATAAATTTCAAATTTGTTAATAGGATAGTCGTGTTCTAGGATCATCTGCCTTCACTAATTACTTATCTCAGCCTAGAAAAAAGAACTTTCTTAGCGAGACACATTTCTGGCTGCTTCAGAGTCATTGCCCTCTAATGAAAACAGAAGGGCAGTGAGCTAGACCTAGTGGAACCTGTTTCGTGGGAGAGTCAGGTAAGGCATTCTAAAAGAGCGGTTTCCAGTCTGTGGTTCACGGATCAGTAGCTTAAATTTCAGTGCGTGAAAACAAATTCAGGGCACAACTAATAAAGCCTATTATCCCCTCGTATAGAATTCTAGTCCGACAAATCTAGCTAGTGTTTCATTTTATCTGTTGGAAGAAACTGTTAAATAAAAATTCTGTATAAGTTACTTACGTTGCCGGATATAAAGTAGAAGTTTCGATTTTTTGTAATGTTTACGTAAAGATATATTTATGAATAAACTCACATGCCCATCTCAAATGATTCATTCATTATCACCATCAAACACAAAGTTAAATAGCTTTTCACACGAGCACCACAACATAATTTTACATTCTACAAAATTATTTTGACAAGAAGTTACTATAGGATTCTGACGATGGTGTATAACACACTGATATATTGGGTTTTTGGACTTTATCCATCGTCCTGGTTTTTAAGATAACAAATAAAAACACGACGTTTCGGAAACTGGATCTGTTTCCGTCCTCAGGTGAAGGAAAACACCTATTGATTGATAGTGATTGAGGCTAGCTCTTTCTAACGGACCCAACAGAATACGTGTTTTCCTTCACCTGAGGACGGAAACAGATCCAGTTTCAGAAACGTCGTGTTTTTATTTGTTATCTTAAAAACCAGGACGATGGATAAAGTCCAAAAACCCAATATATCAGTATTTTGACAAGAGTTTTGTATTTTTTCATTAACTATTAACCATCACCTTTTGAGAACGCTGACATAAGTGGAGCTAAGTTTTGCTCTCACTCCACAAATTCAAGCGTCCGCCATGTTGTTATTAGGTCGGAAATTAAAAACGGCGGACGTAGAGTGGGCTCCAGTGGTCTTATAACATTTGTACTGAAGTCTGTGTCAATCAGACAGCTGGTTTAAACAAACAGACAGCATCCCGATCTCATAAGCCTAACTTTTCCTAAGGAAGAAAACAAAGATATTCATAAAAGACAGAGAAGAAAAGAGAAAATAAATAAACAAAGAACAAGAAAAAATATGAAAAAAGAAAATAAATAAAAGTAATGAAATTGAAAGAGAGAGAAAAGAAATGATTTCGTTTCACGTTACTGTGGCACATCCAAGCAAGGGGTGACTGGGACACAGTCCGTTGTTACTTATGAATTCAAATGGGCCTATTGTACTGATGACAGATGAGTGTGGAAAACGATGGAACAAAAAGTGACAGAGGAAAACCGGAGTTAATATATGGCCCAATGTAACAGTAACTATCCCAGGCATGATAGTTCAAAATATGAAAAATAAAAACACAGTGGGACAGCTGAGACTACGGTAACACTTCAGACTTTTATTAAGGAGGCATCGGTTCGAATCTATAAACGGTGTTTCGAAACTCCTATGGTTTTCCATAATTCCTCCATGCAAGTGTAGTGCCCTCACATAAGTCACAAAAACGTGTAATAATCCATATACGTGTATATATATATAAATTTCTTTATTAAAATCCGTCACAACACAACAACAAAACAGTTGATGTTTAACAGTATTTCGTTACATGTGTCGGCTTTTTAGAAAGCCATCATCAAGCAAATACGAGTACACAATTAACGTGTTCTTAAGCTACTGAATAGCGTATCATATAATTTAGTGCAGTGTTGGATTTTCGACAATATATCGTAATATAATAATATAAACCATAAAATACAATAAAAGATAAACATTAAAATAGTATAGTTCTTAATTATATTTTAATTATGTAACTTATGTCGTTTAAAATCTTTATCTTTATTATGTATTATGTTTTATATTACGATATATTGTCGAAA